CTCAACTCTCTGAGAGAAGGAATTCCTCCTCATCTCAGTCTTAAATTGGTGCCCCTTTGTATTGAGACTGTGACCTCTGGTCCAAGACTCTCTCATGAGGGGAAACATACTCTCTGCATTTACTTTGCCAAGCTCTTTAAGAATCCAATGTTTCATTGAGATCTCCTCTCATTCTTCTAAGTTCCAATGTGTAGAGTCCCAACCTGTTTAACATTTGCTCATAAGACAATCCTTCCTTAACAGGGATCATCCTAGTGAATGTTCTCTGAAATGCCTCCGATGAAATAATATCTTTCCTTAAATAAGGGGAACCAAAACTGCTCACTGTATTCCAGATGTGGTCTCACCAGCACCTTGTACAGTCGCAGTAAGGCTTTCCAACTCTTATACTCCAACCCCCTTTGAAATAAGGGCCAACATTCCATTAGCCTTCCTGATTCCCTAGGTGCTAGCTTTCTGTGTTTTGTGTTCCCTCAAGGCACATTTGTGTTGCAGCTTTCTGCAGTTTTTTTTGTCCATTTAAATAATACTCTGCTCCTTGGTTCTCCCTTACAAAATGAACAACTTTACATTTTCCCACATTGTACTCCAATTGCCAACTTCTTGCCTAGTTACTTAGCTCATCAATCTCTCTCTGCAAAGTGCTTATATTCCTCCTACATCCTGCCTTTCCACTTATTTTTGTCCCATTAGCAACTGCTTTGAAGGCCCTAGGAATAAGTCCATTTGGACCCAAAGATCTGTTATCTCACAGCTCCATCGGTTTGCATATTAACACCTTCCTCATGCTGTAACTTCACTAATTTCCTCTAGATCTCTACTTCCTGATACATAGCTTTTACTGGAGTGTTCCTTGTATCATTTCTAGTGAAGATAGAAGATTTCATATTCATCATAAAACCCCCCATCATCTGGGACGAGTATAGGCCAGCTCCAGACAGACAGTTCAGCAGACCCATCCCTAAGTTTGCTTTAGAAAGGGCTCAGGGGATGAGTTCCAGTTAGGCAAATCATTGCCTTTTATCCAATGGAACTTATACCCACCGAGCTTCATTAGGAAATTAATCAGCAATTTCCCCCTGGGGCCTTGTGGGATTTATCACAACTTTATTCATCATTTCTTTATTATCTATGATTAACTCTCCATTCTCACTCACTTTGCTTACTCTTCTCCTTTCTAAATATCATTGCTATCATTTTTACATTCCTAGCTAGCTCCCTCCCATACGTAATTTCTTCCTTGCGCTGAAAATTTGAGTCATAGAGTAATAGAGTCATACAGCACAGAAACAGGCCCTTTGGCCCAACCAGTCTGTGCTGACCATAATCCCAAACTAAACTAGTCCCACCTGCCTGCTCCTGGCCCATATCCCTCCAAACCTTAGATAACAAGGTGTAGAGCTGGATGAACACAACAGGCCAAGCAGCATCATAGGAGCAGGAAGGCTGACGTTTCGGGCCTAGAAATTTTTTTTCTGATGAAGGGTCTAGTGTTCTAATAGGCTTGTGTCCATCCAGCTCTACACCTTGTTATCTCAGATTCTCCAGCATCTGCAGTTCCTACTATCTCCCTCCAAACCTTTCCTACTCATGAACTTATCCAAATGTCTTTTAAACGTTGTAACTGTACCCACATCCACCATTTCCTCAGGAAGTTCATTCCACACACAAACCATTCTCTGTGTAAAACATTGCCGCTCATGTCTTTTTTAAAATCCTTCTCCTCTCACCTTAAAAATATGCCCCTAGTTTTGAACTCCCCCACCCCAGGGAAAAGACACCTGCCAGTCACTTTATCTATACCTCTCATGACTTTAAAAACTTCTTTAAGATCACTCCTCAACTTCCTACGCTCCAGGGAAAAAAGTCCCAGCCTATCCAGCATTTCCTTATAAGTCACAGCCTCCATTCCCAGCAACATCCTGGTAAATCTCTACTGAACCGTCTCCAGTTTAATAATATCCTTCCTATAACTGGGTGACCAGAACTGGACACAGTGCTCCAGAAGAGGCCTCACCAATGTCCTGTACAAACTCAACATGACGTCCCCGGCTCCTATACTCAAAGGTCTGAGCAATGAAGGTAAGCGTGCTAAACACCTTCTTAACCACCCTGTCTATATGTAACGCAAACTTCAAAGAATTATGTACCTGAGCCCCGAGGTCTCTCTGTTCTACAGCATTCTCTGCTGTAGTTTATATTCTGAACCATCATCTGAAACTCCCTCATCTTTGTACAGTCCTATACATTTTCCTTCGGGTTTGACACTTGTGCTAACTTTCTTTGTTAACAAAGATGGTGCGTTCTCCCTTTGGAATTTTTCCTTATGGTGGGAATATAATTATTCTGAATATTCCGAAATATCCCCTTAAATGTCTCCCGCTGTCTCCATTGATCTGTCACCTTGCCTGGTTTCCAATTCCCTTCAGCTAGCTCAGACTTTAGGCCTTCATAGTTGCACTTAATTGCCCCCTGAGATCTCTGCGCCCCTCCAATCTCAGCTTCTTGAACATTCCCCGATTCCCATCGCTCCACCATTGGCGGGTGTGCCTTTAGCTGCTAGAGTCCTGAGTTCAATTAACCTCTTACTGTCCTCTCCTGAGCTGTTGGTCTCCTGTCAGATGGAGGTCATGTTAGGTTGTTTTGTTTGATAATCACTCCATGCATCAATTTTATGTTGAAGCATTGAAATGCGAGCCAGTTATTGGTGTTGGTGTTGGAGGCCAAGCCATTGAGTGTATTTAAGACACAGATAGGTTCTTGAACGGTAAGGGGATCAAGGATTGCAGAGAGGAGTCAGGAGAACGGGGTTTATAAACAAATGAGCCACGATCGAACGGCAGAGCAAACTTGATGGGCCGAATGGCCTAATTCTGCTCTTATATCTTACGGGGATAGTAGGAACTGCAGATGCTGGAAAATCTGAGATAACAAGGTGTAGAGCTGGATGAACACAGCAGGCCAAGCAGCATCATAGAAGCAGGAAGGCTGACGTTTCGGGCCTAGGCCTGCTGTGTTCATCCAGCTCTACACCTTGTTATCTCTTATATCTTATGGGCTGACTGTGTTGCTGTTGTCTTCTCTATAACAAAGAATTGTGTTTTCTCATCAGTTGACAGACACCGTCTCACAGATTACTACCAGGTTAGCTTGGCAGTCCTAGCTCTTTGTAAAACCTCATCGTGTTTGCCTTGCCAAATCATTGAGATGATTTTCTACTCGGCTGCTCAGCATTCCATCCAGGAGGAATTCACCTACTCTGCTGGTGAGTTGAAGAAGAATTTTCAATTCTAGGTCCAACCGTCTTCAGCTGCTTCATCAATGAACTTCCCTCCATCATAAGGTCAGAAGTGGGGATGTTCCCCAATGATTACACAATGTTCAGATTACACATTCGTGACTCCTCAGATACTGAAGCAGGCCGTGTCCAGATGTAACAAGATCTGGACAATATCCAGACTTGGGCTGACTAGTGGCAAATGACATTTGTGCCACACAAATGCCAGGCTATGACCATCACCAATAACAGACAATCCAGCCACTGCCCTTTGGCATTTAATGGTGTTACCATCACTGAATTCCCCCACTGTAAACATCCTGGGGTTTACTGTTGCAAAAGTGTGTGACCACTGCCCCTTGATATTCACTGGTGTTACTATCACTGAATCTCTCTCTATCAACATTCTGGGGGTTACCATTGACAAGAACCTGAACGACTCCAGCCATATAAAGTTCCCACAGCAACACTCCCTCATTAATGAGGGATGACTGGTGATATGTTTAACCTGAGGGTCTCCGCACCTCAGATGAGGTTGAGAAGGTAAGACCATCATAGCAACCTCTGCCAGTAGTGAAATTGAACCGTTGCTATCGGCATCTCTCACCAACCTCCAACCAACTGAGCTAGCTGACTCCCAGCCATATAAATGTCATAGCTCAGGTAAACAGATTGTTAATCAAAAGGGTAGTCAAGGATGATGGGGGAAAGGTGGGAAAGCGGAGCTGAAGATTATGATATCAGCCACGATCTCGTTGAACGGTGGAGCAGACTCGATGGGCTGAATGGCCTACTCCTGATCTGACGTTCTATGGTAAGCTGATGGATGAAGGAGGGAATAGAAGTAGTCAGTGATGGGGGGGTAGGGGGAGAAAGGGTGTAAAACAGAAACACCTGCAGTCCTCATGATCTGGACAGTCCAAAAAAGGGATACAGAGGCCAGAAATACACACTGTTCCAAATGTGGTCTAACCTAGGAACACACAGACCAAAACTGTGCACAGTGCTCCAAGTGTGGGTCTAACTGAGGGATACGGAGACTGGAACTGTGCACGGTGCTCCG